TATCAAGTTGGGGAAGTTCCCCTCCTTCTATTTTGGGGAGCGTTTTTGTCATAGATATGATGTTGAATTTTGTCATATGCTTATTCTACATTGATTGATATGATTGTGTGATTTTTCTTCTTTAGCCTGTTGAAATAGTGTATTAGATAGATTGTTTTTTTTAAGTATGTATTTATTTTAGAGAGAGAGAGTGTGTGCATGAGTTGGGGGAGGGGCAGAGGGAGAGAATCCTCAAGCAGATTCCCTGCTGAGTGTGGAGCCCCATGCGGGGCTCGTTCTCAGGTCCCTGAGATCATGACCTGAGCTGAAATCTAGTGTTGGATGCTCAACTGACTGAGCTATCCAGGCACCCCATATTGATTCTTTAAAAAAATATTGAGCCAGCCTTGCATTCCTGGAATAAACCCCAACTGGTCATGGTATATAATTCTTTTCATATATTGCTAAATTCTGTTTGATAAAATTTTGCTTAAGATTTTTACATCTATATTCATAAGGGATATTAACCTATAGTTTTCTTTTGTATTCTCTTTATATGGTTTTAGTATCAGGGTAATACTTGTTCCATAAAATGTATTGGGAAGTATTTCCTCCTATTCTGTTTTCTGCAAGAGAGTGTGTAGAATTGGTATTAGTTCTTGTTTAAACATTCACGGAATTCTCCAGTGAAACCATTTAGAGGTTCATTTTTTATTCCAAAACTGGGAGCTTTAAAATTATGGATTCAATTTTCTTAATACTTATAAGTGCTATTCAAATTACCTATTTCATTTTGGATGAGTTGAGGTAGTTTGTATTTCATAGTACTCCTTTGCTATCTTTTTGATAATAAACACCCCTCCAGTGTCTGTAATTGTATCTTCATTTCATTTCTGGTATTGGTAATTCGTGTCTCTGTTCTTTTCTTTGTCAGTCTTGCTAGAGTTTTGTCAATTTTATGGACTTTTTATAAAGAACCAGCTCATTGTTTCATTGTTTTTCTCTATTTTTCTGTTTTCAGTTTTCTCCACTCTTATGATTATTATATCCTTCCTTTTGCTTGCTTTGGATTTATTTTCCTCTCCTTTTGCTCACTTCTTGAGATAGGAACTTAGACTTTGATTTGAGATTATTCCTTTTTTTCTGATGTATGCATTTAGTGCTCTAAATATTTGTCTTAGTGCTTTAGCTGTGTCCCACAAAGTTTTGTATGCTTTTCTCTTTTGTTTTCATTCAGTTCCATGTATTAACAAAATTTTCCTTTTAAATTCTTTCTTTAATGCATGAATTATTTATTTATTTATTTATTTATTTATTTATTTTTTAAAAGATTTTATTTATTTATTTGACAGAGAGACAGCGAGAGCAGGAACACAAGCAGGGGGAGTGGGAGAGGGAGAAGCAGGCTTCCTGCTGAGCCAGGAGCCCGATGTGGGACTCGATCCCAGGACCCTGGGATCATGACCTGAGCCGAAGGCAGTTGCCCAACCAACTGAGCCACCCAGGTGCCCTGCATGAATTATTTAGAAGTGTGCTTATATTTATAGTTTTAAACTATTTGGAGATTTCTGTTACCTTTCAGTTATGGATTTCTAATTTGAATCGGTTGTGGTCAGAGAACATATTATGTATGATTTCTTTTTTTTTTTTTTAAAGATTTTATTTATTTATTTGAGAGAGAGAATGAGGGGGGGGGAGGGTCAGAGGGAGAAGCAGACTCCCCGCTGAGCAGGGAGCCCGATGCGGGACTCGATCCTGGGACTCCAGGATCATGACCCGAGCCGAAGGCAGTCGCTTAACCAACTGAGCCACCCAGGCGCCCATGTATGATTTCACTTTTAAATGTGTTGAGGTTCTTTTATGTCCCTGGGCATGGTCTGTCTTGCTATATGTTCCATGAGCACTTTGGAAAGAGTGTATATTCTGCTGTTATTGAGTGGAAGGTTCTATGAATATCACTTAGAATCTGTTGGTTGAGCTCTTCCACATCCTTGCTGACTTTTCTGTCTAGTTATCTATTTTTGAGATGGGGGTGTTGAAGTGTGCAACTGTAATTGTGGATTTGTTTCTTTTTCCTTTCAGTTCTATCCATTTATGTTTTATGCGTTTTCCTCCTCTGTTGTTTGTTGCATATACACTTGAGGTTGCTATGCTTCTTGGTGGATTGACGTTTTGTCACTATATAATGTTCCTCTCTGTGGTAGTTTTCTTTGTTCTGAAGTCTACTTTATCTAATGTCAATATAGCCATGCCTACCTTCCTGTGGTTAATGTTTACATATTTTTACATCCTGACTGTGTATCTATTTGAAGTGAATTTTTGTAGACCTAACATAATTGGGTCTTTTAAAATCTCTTTAGTCCATTTGGCCCATCTCTGTCATTTAAATCGTATATTTTGACCATTTAGCATTAATGTAATTATTGATGTGTTAAGGCTTAATGTCTGTCATTTTGTTTTTTGTTTTATGTTCTCTCTGTTCTTATATCCATTATCTTTTTTCTGCCTTTCTTGTGGGTCATTTGAATATTTTTAGAATTCCACTTGGATTTACCTGTAATTGTTTTTGAGCTTTCCATAGCTTTCTAAGTGATTGCTCTAGGCATTATATTCTGTATATATAACTTTACCACCATCTGGTGTGATACCAGTTTGAGTGAAATATACAAACCTTACTTTCTTTTATGTCTCTTTACCCTCCCCCACTTACAACATAACTGTCTTAAATATTTTCTCTACATACATTTAGAACCAAATCTGATTGCATTGTAATTTTTGCTTCAACTGTTAACCATAATTTAGAAAATTTGAGAGGAGAAGAAGAGCCTATTGTATTTATTCATATTTTTGCTTACTGTGTTCTTTTTTCCTTCCCAGAGTTCTAAGATTCCTTCTTTTATTGTTTTCTTTCTGTTTAAAGAGCTTTCTTTAGCCATTCTTTTAGGATAGGTCTACTGATGGCAAATTCTCTTGGTTTCCTTTAATCTAAGAATATCTTGATTTTCTGTTTATTCTTACAGGATATTTTTGCTGGATATAGAATTCTAGACTGATCGTTCTTTTCTTTCATTACTCCAAATATATTGTGTGTGGCCTCCATGGTTTCTGATGAGAAATACACTATTACTCCAGTTATTTCCCCACTGTACATAAGGTATCATTTTTCTCTGCCTGCTTTCAAGATTTTCCTCTGTTATTAGTTCTCAGAAGTTTAATTATGATGCATCTTTTTTTTTTTTTTTTAAAACATTTTCTCTATTTACTTGTCAGAGAGAGAGCGTGCATAAGCAGGGGCAGCAGCAGGCAGAGGGAGAGGGAGAAGCAGGCTCCCCGCTGAGCTGGGGGCCCGATGCAGGACTCGATCTCAGGACCCTGGGATCATGACCTGAGCTGAAGGCAGCCGCTTAACCAACTGAGCCACCCAGACGTCCCGAATTATGATGCATCTTGGTGTGAATTTCCTTGGGTTTATTCTATTTGGGATTTGATAAACTTTCTTGAATCTGTAGGCTTATGTCTTTTCCCAAATTTGGGATGTTTTCAGTTGTTATATTTTTGAGTACTTTTTCAGATCCCTCCCCCCCTTCTCTTTTTCTGATGAAGTTATAGGCTCACTGGTCCCTGAGGCTCTGTTTATTTTTAATTTTTCATCTGTTTTCTCTCTTGTGCAAGTTTAGGTAATATCTGTTGGTCTGTCTTCCAGTTCATGGGTTATTTCTGTTCCCTCCTTGCTGTTGAGTCCATACACTGAGCTGCTTGTTTGAATTACTACATTTTTCACTCCTAACATTTCTACCTGGTTCTTGTTTGTCTCTACTTCTTTGCTGAGATTTGATGTTGGTTTTTTTAATGAAACTTTGTTTTTCATCTGTTTTCAGCATGTTCATAATTGCTTATTGAAGCTTTCTTATTGTGACTTTTTATTTAAACTCTTTGTTGGGTAATTCTAACATCTCTGTCACCTCATTGTCAGCAGCCGTTGGTTGTCCTTGTCCTATTTGAGATCTTCCTGGCTCTTGGGATGATGAATGATTTTCAGTGGAAATGTGTACATTTTCATATGGTGATGTGTGACTGTGGGTCTTCCTAAGCCTCTGCTTCAGCTGATGTTCTCTCATGGCTCTCACAGGGGAGGAGGGGTGCTGCCCCGTCACTGACAAGTGGACACAGAAGTCTCATTCTCCAGTTGACCTCTGTCATTACTCCAGTGGGGAGGCTCCTTGTTGTTGCTGGTGTGGTTGGGGGCTCCTGCTCTCTACATGGTCCCCACCAATATCATGGTGGGTGGCCTCATTTCTGTTGGTGATGGAGAAAGTCCTGACTCTCCATTAGCTCTTTCCTGACACCAGTCCAGTGGGGTGAGGGAGGGGTACCTTGGTACTGCCCAGTGGGTGTCGAAACCCAGGCTCCCCGCATTACCTGCACCAATATAGTGGAATGTGAGGAGGATTTGTTACCACCCGTGGGGAAGAAAGTCCCAGCTCCTTTTTTCGGCTTGTTTGACACCACCCCACTGGGGGTTTGGGGTGCCTATTACAGCCACACAGGTCAGAAGTCTGGGTGCCCCCCCTCAGCCTTTGCTGCTGTGGGTCCGGGTGGGCGCCAGTTTTTCTGGGGTGTCTGTTGAGTGGTCATTGTCTAAACACATTGTCTCATTAGGCTGCCACTTTCCTGGTGTGGGTTTCTGGCTCTCCAGTTCCACGTCTGGGATGGATGAAGCTAAACCCCACCCCAGAGACCTGACCCCTCATGCCGCTCCTCGGGGTTCCCAAGTCCCTTGCCAGGCTTCCTCCTTCTCTCCCTCTTTCAGAGTCTCATGTTTGTTTTCTGTACAACATCCCTGTGTTTTAATTGCACTTTGTGGGAGGAATCGGGAAAAGCACGCCTACACCATCTTTCTGGAAGCATAAGTGAAGCCCCTAGTTTTTGGCTCAGAGATAGCAGGATCCACTTGGAGTTTTAACGTTCTGCCTCTTGACAGCTTCTGTCTGACCGTGTCCTGGTTTTCTTGTCTTTCCCAGCTCTGGAAGCCCCTCCAGTCTCCGCGCCTCGGCCCACTGGAGCACAGACAGCTCCTGTTCTAAGAAGCTTTTCTGTAGGGCCCAGTTGGCCAACACCTCTGGTGAGTTTGAGCATTCCCTCCTCATCCTTTTCACCTGTGAGCCAGTCACCCCTGTCGTGGTGCGGTCCACCTCTCACCCCTTCTGCACCATGGCCAGAGAATGGTCAGTTCCTTGCAGTTGGGCCCCTGGTTTTGTGTTAGGATGGGGAGAGGGTGGATGGGGTTGTCCTCAAGCCTGGGGAAACAAAGCTGCCCCCTGGTCACCAGCTGATGTGACCTCGAGGGGACTTAACGGGACCATAGCTCGAGGCCCCAGCCCTGCCTTTTCCTCTCTGCTCCTTGTTGCTGTGCCCATGCTGGACCCAGCCAGTGCGTCTAAGGGTCGATGGTGGATGAGGGGGCTTCTCTGAGCATCCCTGCCCCATTTTTGCATGGACCCCGAGGAGCGGGGGGAACACCCGTTTGTGCCTGGGGGCAGGGAACAATGGCAGGAAGCCCATGCTTGGTGTTTCTGCAGAGTCAAGGCATGCCCTGAGCTCATGGCCTAGTGCCCAGCGCCTGTTTTACTGAGCACCTACTGTGTGCCATGCTGGCATGGTTTCATGTGCAACCTGTGGTTAAAAATGGGCATTTGCTGAGTGCTGCCCGCATGTGGATCTTACCTTGACCGGTTGCACAGGAAAGCGAGGTCATTGCGTTCTCGGGAGGATGTGGTCACCAGCAGGTACACACCTCACTCACAGCCACGTGGGTACGGAGTAGCTCAGTCCAGCCCGGGCAGAGCACACGTGTCCTCTCTCCTGGCCCTGCAGCCGGGGACCATCAAGGACAGTATGGGAGGCCCAAACCCCTTTGGACAGTATTTCTCAAACTTCTCTTTTTTAATTGCCCATCCGAGAAGACATTTTAGATGTTTTTTCCTAATTGTCCACCCCAGTGAAATGTTAACACTGAGGAATGCTGTGAATCTGTCTGAGAGCCTGTTCTGTCTATACCTTTTACTTAAAAACACTAAGATCTGTTTCACTCTCCAAGACCCCAGGGAGGATGTGTGTCCTGGGGATATAACTACAGCAGGCAAGAGCCAAGGGACAGAGCCACTGCCCCATCCCGGTACTGGTCACCGTCGGCTTTGGGAGCACCACTCCCAGTCCTGCCTGAAATTCCCCTGTTCAGGCCCTTCTGTGCCGGTCCTCTGCGTGCTCTGCGCTGCATCCTGCCCCTCCCCTGGGCAAAGAGGGGCATTCTGGCCGGGCCGGGGGCTGGTGGCGGGCTCCGTGGAGGAACGTGCCAGTCCCGGCTGTCACGGCCGAGTGGGCAGAGCCGGGGTTCCCCTTTCTCTGTCTCCAGCTGATGCCCGATGCTGTTCCCTTGTCAGGAACCACCTGGCTTTGAACCCTGGTCTGCACATTGTACGTGCTCATTCATCATTCTTGCCTTTGGGGAGGTTGGCGTCAGGCCAGCTGGGCTGTGTTAGTTCAGGACCAGGCTGAACATCCCTGAGGCTTCTTACTTCTGGGTTTTCTTGAGAAAGGGACACTTGGCCAGTTGATTGGATTTCTGGCCTGTCACCATCCCGGGGTCTGTGGTGGTGGGCTGCCCTGTGGACAGTTCTCTGCCAGTCCTTTGTCAGGGCTGGGTCTTGAGTCTGTTCTTAAGGAACTTCTGTTGGCTCCCCAGTGGTGGGGAGCACTGGATTTCAGAGTCCCCACCCCTGCGATGGTGGTCGTTGCCACACAAGGTGAAGAAGGAAGGAGGAAAGAGCCGGTCTGGGCTCCTCATGAAGGCTAGGGGTGAATCTCCAGTGGTAGTTGGCCTGCTTTAGGGGGTGGCTGTTCACGGAGAGAGTAGCCCGAAAAGAGCATCCCAGGGCCTCTCGGCTGGAGGCAGGATGGCTGGAGGCCCTTGTGCTGTGGATGGAGAGGGCTTTCCCTTGTGCTGGGACATTGTGGGCCAGGCAGTGCTGGGTCCTGGGCTGGTGGCGGAGCGGGGACAGAATTATCGGTCAGGCCAAGGCTCCTCTGGTCTCCTTTTCCTCCTTCCCAGCTGCCCCGTCCTGCGTCCTCATGCGCCCCAGTGCTGCCTCATCAGGAAGCCACCAAGGGACCCTGATCCTCAGCAGCCTCCTGAGGTCCTACGGGCCTCCACTCATCACGTGTGGCCCCTGTGTGGGCCCCTGGCATCCCCTGCGCCCTGGCCGCAGCATCGTCTGCGGGGAGATGTTTATCACGTCGTAAACCCGCGTGGATTCTGGGCTTCAGGCTTCGGGCCGCGACCACCTCCTGCTGCCACGCAGGAAGAACGGGACATTACCCTTGAGTGGCAATTCAGTGACTAGCCAGGACGTCACATCATTAGTGGCAGAGGGTTGCACTTCACAGTGACGACTAATTTACTCTCCGTGGCGAATTCTCACAGGCGAACCGAGGTGCTAGCTTACGAGTTCAAGGACTTGGTTTGCCTCCAGTGTTCTTTGTTATGGCCTCAAATTATCCTCGCCGCTTGTGGGTGTAATCAGACACCCCCTAGGGATTAATCAGATGGCAGAGAGGGTTTCTGATGCTCTGGGTGATCGTCCTGGGCGGTGAAGGGGATGGCAGACGGGCCTTGCGAGCGTGCGGCTCTGGCCACAGTTCTGCCTCCTGCAGCCATGCTCAAGTGTTTGCTCCAAAATCAAGGGCCAGGGCATGTGGTTCTGAGTCAGGGCTCGGCAGACCCTGGCTCACACGCCAAACCCTGCCCATCTTCTGCTTTTGTTGATAAGGTGTTTTTTTTTAATGTTGGTAAATTACACGTGGAGTAAAATGTACCACTTAGCCGTGTTTAAATGCACAGCTCAGGGGCATTCAGTGGATTCACACTGTTGTGCAGCCGTCTACACCATCTGTCTCCAGAACTTTCCGTCTTCCCAAACAGAAACTATGTCCCCCTGAGACATGAGGCAACCCCACCCCCAGCCCGGGGGCCCCTCATCCATTCTCTGTCTCCGTGGATCTGGAGACTCTAGGGACCTCGTGTGGGTGGAATCCTGCAGTATTTGTCCTTTTGTGTCTGGCTTATTTCATTCAGCATCACGTCCCCAAAGTCTGTCCATGCTGTGGCAGGTGTCAGCGTGTCCCTCCGTGTTCAGGTGGAGTCACAGTCTACTGTGTGGATGGACCACGTCTTGTGTCCATCTGTCTATCCATGGATACTTGGGTCTCTTTCTTCCACCTTTTTGCTGTTTTCGTGAGTGCTACTAGGGGAATGGATGTACAGATATCTGTTCAGGTCCCTGCTTTCCGTTCTTCTGGAGATGCCCCCGGGGTGGGCTTGCTGGGTCACACGGTTACTCTGCTTTGCTTTAGAGGAGTCGCCAAACTGCTTTCCAGGGCAGCTGCCCCATTTTACCTTCCCAGGAGCCGTGCACAAGAGTCCTGGTTTCTCCACATCCTCTCCAGCACGTTTTTTGTCTTTCTGCTCATAGCCATCCTAGGGCGTGTGAAGTGGTATCTCACTGTGGTTTAGATTAGTGTTCCCTGATGACTAGGGATGCTGAGCATCCCTTCATGGGCTTATTCTCCATCCCTGTATCTTCTTTGGAGAAATATCCATTCAAGTCCTTTGCCCATTTTCCAATGGGGTTGTTTGATTTCTGTTATTACGTTATAGGAGGTCTTGATATACTATGGATATTAATACCTTGCTGGACATGTGATTTGCAAATCGTTTCCCCCAGTCTACAGGTCGCCTTTTGTAAATAAAGTTTTATTGTCACACAGCCACATCTGCTCCTTTGCATGCCACCTCGGGCTGCTTTCATGCTCCAGCAGCGTCCTGGACGTGACAGACCATGTGGTCTGCAGAACTGAAAATACATCCGAGCTGGCTCTTTACAGAAACGCATGATCTGGGCACGCTGAGTGCTGAGAACCAGCAGTGGGTCTCTGATGGGAGGCTGGGACCAGCTCACTCTCCACAAATCCCAGGGGCATGGCACACAGCATGGTGGCATCTGGTGGCCCCCTGGTCTGAAGCCCACAGAGTCTTGGTTAAGTTATGTGGCTTGCTTCCGTCTGTGGAGGGTGCTGACCCTGGACAGGGGGCTCCTTCCTGCTGGGGTGCCGTGCAGGGAGGCATTTAGGCCCAGTGTCCACTGGAAGAACCGGGCTCATGATGCAGGGCTGGGTTGGCCGTAAAACAGAGCTGGTTCTGGGCTTTCCTCCCAGTTAGTTCTGCCCAGCGCTCTGTTTGTAACTTATCTCTGCTCCCGGGGTCTTTGGCTCTTCACATGACTCTTGGTCATCAAGAGGTCTTGGAGGTCAGGGAGCTCGGGCCGTTGTGCCCTGCGCTGAGCAGTGCTGTGCTTCCTGACTGGGGGGCAGGTAAATATGCCGGACCCTGCAGCCACCCGCCCATCTCGGGGCACCACGGATTCGGTCTAAGACATTTAAGAAATAGCTTTATGGAGATGTAATTCACCCACCCTGTGTTCCCGTTTAAAGAGAATACCGTCCAGTTCTTTTTTGTGCGTTCACGCCGCTCTGTCGTCCTCACCACAGTCAACTTTAAAGCGTGTTCATCGCCCTCCCCCCACCCCCGCAGAAAACCCCCTGAGCCCGTTAGCGGTCACCTCCCCTCCCCTGCCCCCAGCCACCAGCCGTCCGCCTCCTGTCCGTGCGGACTTGTCTCTTCTGAACGTTTCACCTACGTGGAGTTGCACACTTTGTGGCCTCTCATGTCTGGCTGCTTCCACGCAGCGTCTTCAGGACTGTCCACGTTGGAGCAGATGTCAGGGTGTCGCTCCTGTTTCTCGGTGACGGATGCACCTCATGCCACCTCCTGTCTGTTCATCGGGGTGGACGTTTGCGCCGTTCCCGCTAAAACGTCCATTACGAGTAAGCCTGCCACGAACGTCCCTGGATGAGCTTTGTGTGGACGTGGGCGTTCGTGTCTTCAGAGTCTGCAGCTGGGAAGGATAGCTTTGCTACATCTTGAGGCAGCTCCGGGTTTAACCTTTCAGGAGCCGCCAGACCGTTCCCCCAAGTGGGAGAACCATTCGCCTTGCAGACAGCTTCGTC